GAGCGCTACATGGCCCAGCTCAAATGTTACTACTTCGATTACAAGTGAGGATGGACTCTGCCTGATGGCAGCTCATTGATCCCTGGTGCTCTAGCTTGGAAACTTCCTCTCTGCAGAGCTTCATCCCCAGAGACTGCAGGCTCAGGAGGTTGACCTTGAGACCCTAAGTCTCTGTTGGCCTCATTCTGTCTCCCTCTCCGTATTTCCACTCCCCAGTGTAGCCACCATTACCTTTCATATGCCCTGGCCCCAGCCTTAACCCCTTGGATTATTCCTCCTCCACCAACCCCCACCCCATGGCAGCCAGTAGGATCTTTGTGACACTAAACTTGATGCCCTGCTTAGAACCTGTCATGGCTCTCCATAACCCTCAGGCTCCAGGCCCCGTTCTTTTCTGTGGTCTCCAATGCAGTGTCAGCACTCTTCCTAGCTGCCCCATCCTACCCTGTTTCCCCGAAAATAAGACGGTGTCTTATATTAATTTTTTCTCCCAAAGTTGCCCTAGTCTTATTTTCAGGGGATGTCTTATCTTTCCATGCACTAGGTCTTATTTTCGGGGAAACATGGTAGCCCTGACCCCTCTGCCTGTGCTTCTATCCCAGGCCTGTCTCTCCTGCTGGACTGTGAGCCTTCTAAAGGCAGAGGGGTCTTGGTCACTGCTGTATCCCAACTTTGCCTACCATGGGGCCAGGCCCAGGGCATGGATTCAGTGGATATGTGTTGAGTATAAAACTGAATGGTTTTATAGCTCAGTGGTGCCTACATGGATTAATGATTAAGAATTTGGCATAAAAAACCAGACAAACCAGAGTTTGAAACTGATTTGATCAATTCCCGATTATGTGGTCTTGGACAAATGACCTTACCTCCCTAAGCCTCACTTCCTCTCTTAAAATAAAAGCTATGATTCTTTTTTCTTTTTCTTTTTTTTTAAAATATATTTTATTGATTTTTTACAGAGAGGAAGAGAGAGAGAAAAAGCCAGAAACGTCGTTGAGAGAGAAACATCGACCAGCTGCCTCCTGCACACCCCCCACCGGGGATTGCCCACAACCAATGTACATGCCCTTGACCGGAATCGAACCTGGGACCTTTCAGTCCGCAGACCGACGCTCTACCACTGAGCCAAACCAGCTTCGGCAAAGGCTATGATTCTTAATATCATAATCATAACTACTAGTTGTACCAGTACTTATTTGGGCCAGGTATTGTTCTAATCATTTTATCTAGGTTAAAACATTTAATTCACTTAACCCTTCTTCATTTAACCCTCTTCTTGTGGTATGAGTACTGTAGTAATACCCATTTTACACTTGGGGAAATTGAGGCTGAGTCACTTTACTGAAGTGAGGTCACTCACTTAGGCCCATATGATTTGTGACTTCTTTGTACTTCTCTGGACATTATTTTCATCAGAAAACCCAGGGCTCAATACCTCTCCAAGGGTATAGCATGAGATAGTCATAGGGGATCCCTGGAACCTGGGGTGGGAGACACAGTAGGTACCTAAATTCTTACCTTGGTTCCCTCACCCTGGTTCACAGGGAACAGCTCCCTGAATCAGCGTACATGCACCAGCTCTTGGGCCTTAACCTCCTCTTCCTGCTGTCTCAGAACCGGGTGGCTGAGTTCCACACGGAATTGGAGCGGCTGCCTGCCAAGGACATCCAGACCAATGTATACATCAAGCATCCTGTGTCCCTTGAGCAGGTGAGTCTGGAGAAAGGGAAAGGAAGGGCCTGGCTAAGGAGGGTGGTGCAAGGACAGACATTAGGGAGGGTTTCCTGGAGGAGTGGATAGGGTTTACCCATCTTTCAGCTCATGGACCCATTTGTCAAACAAATTGAGCACCAGCCATGTGTCAGGCACTGTGGTTGGTTTTCAGACTATACAGTGAACAAAAATCCCTGATCTTGGGAGCATGACATAAGGAAAGGTCTTGCTGAAAAGGTGAATTTTGAAAAAGACTTGAGAGGAGTAAAGAACCCAATCATATGGACATCTAGGGGAACAGTGGTCCATGTAGCCTGGACCTTCTGCCAAAGGTCCCAAGGCAGAAACATGCCTGGTTGCCTGGCTGAGGGGTAGCAAAGAAGACAGTGTTTCTAGAACAAGGTCAGCAGGGTGAGGGAAGAGCCTTAGTACCCAAGGTTAGAAGTAGTTCCTAAAGCTGAGGTCTCATGGGAGGATTTGGCTATGGGGAGAGGCTGGGAGAGAGGACAGATAAGGCAGGCAGCTCAGCTTGGGCAAAGGAGGAATGGGCTTGCCATACATCCTGCTCTGTCTCCTCCTGTGATTGGATAATAGATATTAGTACATACCAGCCCAGGGCAGGCTGGGTGTGGGTGTATGGGTGTGTGTGCATGGAAGTAAACCAGGTGCCCATTCTGCATGGGGAATGGTCGTTCTAGCAGAGTGGGGCTTATGGTAGCACTGGGAGTATGGTGAAGCCTCAGAGGGTAGGCCACTATGCTGTCTCTACCTCATCTTATCTTCCCCACCCTTGGTCTCTGCAGTACCTAATGGAGGGCAGCTACAACAAGGTGTTTCTGGCCAAAGGCAACATCCCTGCGGAGAGCTATACCTTCTTCATCGACATCCTGCTTGACACTATCAGGTTCATGGGGAACCAGGGCCTTGGAATCTGGAGTCAGACAGCCCTTAACTGAATCCCATTCTGGCCACTTCTGATCTGGGAGACTGGGCACATCAGTTTTCTTTTTCTGTGCACTGGAACTGTCATGAGATTGTGGGAAACGGTCCTCATCTTGCTCTGGGCTGTTTTACCAGTGTGCCTATGCATTCCAGATCCAGAGCATTGATTTAATAGCACCCAGACTGCTCAGTGAACAGGGACCATGCTGCCTTTCTTAGGAGTGTTCCGTGAGTCCTGCGACCTCACCTAAGATCACCTGAGCTGTGAAGCCTTTAGTTTCCACTTCTTTAAAATGGGGCCCTTAAACCCTCTAGCCCTTCTGGGGTTGCTCTGTGCACAAGTGACATCACAGAGGAAGGTGGGCATGACATTAACAAGTCCTTTGAGAAGTAAAAGAGTGCCCAGGTGGTGGCAGAGTATCAGATTGAGAGGGTTTCCATTCCTGGAGTGCTTCTGTGTTCAATAGCAAGAACCTCATCTTCCCCCAGAGATGAGATTGCTGGATGCATCGAGAAGGCCTACGAGAAAATCCTCTTTACTGAGGCCACCCGTATCCTCTTCTTCAACACACCCAAAAAGATGACGGACTACGCCAAAAAGGTGGCTGGGGTGCAAGGGGTCATGGGGCCAAGGGGTGCATTTACTAATAGCTATGAGGGTGGCCTGACTAATAATTATGACGGTGGCCTGGAGGGACCTGGAGCAAGACTGCTTAAGGTTTAAAAATCCAGGTGTGTATCCTCAGGCAAGTCTCCAAACTTCTCTAACTTCAGTTCCCCTATCTGTAGAGTGAGGCTAGAATTTAACATGGGGATGAGCTTAGCATAGCATCTGGCACCAGGTGGAGGCAAAAATTTAGCACATGTTGTCCTTAAAAGAATTCCTTGAAGGTTGTCGCTTTTCCCCACACAACTTTGCTTCATTTGGTTTGGGGTGTTTGTGCAGGAGCAGTGCCCTTGTACATGCTGGTGCATGGGGTGTAGTGATCCTGGCTAGAAGAGGTGAAATTGACCTTGAGTGGTGGTAATGACTGATATTCAGTGGGCCAAACACTATTCTCAGCACTTTACAATGTTGGTTGAGTTCTCATAGCAGACTTGAAGAGAAGTGTGATTAGGGTCCTAGTCTCAAACATGGAGAATCAGTCACAGAGAGGTGAAGTTACTTGCCTAGAGTTGTGCGGGTAGATTATGGTTAGTAAAGCAAGCCGGGGCATACGTGGATAAGTGCTGGCGCTCTGGGGTGGGGAGGGAGCCTATGTGATCACCCCACCCATCTCATCCCTCCCTTTCTGCAGCGAGGGTGGGTCCTGGGCCTCAACAACTACTACAGCTTTGCCAGCCAACAACAGAAACCAGAAGATACCACCATCCCCTCCACGGAGCTGGCCAAACAGGTCATCGAGTATGCCCGGCAGCTGGAAATGATCGTCTGAGCCCAGCAGGCACTGAGTGGGGCAGAGCTCCCATTATTGAAAGCAGTTGCATGGCAGGATTTCCTCTAATAAAGCTGAATGGACATTCTCTCTCCCAAGAGTCCTTGTCTCCCTAGATGGAATGGTGGGGAGACAAGTCTTTGTCTTTGGAAAACTTGGAAGTTTGAGGGCCCTCAGGGCCAGTCTTTGTCCAGTGGCCTTTGCAGAGGGTATCAGAACTAATGCTCACTGCAGGGTCCTGGTGGCAGTGTGGCCTGGAGGAGCACAGGCCTTGGGTAGAGGAACTGTTGCACCCAGCTGTGGGCACAGGAGTGCTAGGCTAAGGTTCCAGGTACCAGTTTTCTAGTGAAGGGGATGAAGTATCCCAATTTTTAAAATAAGTTTGCAATTAATTAAACCAATTTTTTCAATATGTGAAATGGAACCCTTGTGTGGGATACCACTTTTGAGACCTCTTGAACAAAAGGCATGGGCCTGTCTTGGTTCCTGACCTTCCTGAGCCAGTGCTGGGACTTACAAACTCATACACCCCCCAGCCTCTTTCCTGCCTTGAAATTCTTGAGCTGTTTAAGGCTGAGTCCAAGTCTAGCTGGACTATATGTGGTATTTTCAAGCCTTCCAGAGTCAGTTTCCCCAGCTGTAAAATGGAATGTCCACTCAGCCTGAGTGATTTGTGCTGAACCTTTGAGTTTGGCACGAGATCAGCTCAGAAATGGAGCTGATGGTATTATGGAGAATGAGACCATCTCACCCTGGGCCCCATCAGTCTGGATGGTGGTTGAATGAAACCTCCATTGCAGTTGCTCTGGGTCCAACCTATTTCTAGGATGTGGTGCCTGCATGAAGACTTCTGCCATACCCCAACCCCACTCCAACCTTTTGTAGGTGACTTGAACAGGCAGCTAGACATCTGGTTGTTGGTTATTTTATTGACAAGGAAGGAAGGTAGAGGCCATTGAACAGACTACACTCAGTTGGAATGGGTGGCCTGCAAGTCGAAGTGCTCCAGCCCGGCTACCAGGGAGCCGGCCAACTTGATGGTGGCAACCCAGGATGGCTCTCTCAGGTGGTTGGTGGGCGTGCTCAGCCTAGGATGAAAGTAGATTCAGCACATCTGGCAGTGCAGTGAGGCCTTTCCCCCTTCCAGGCTTCACTTTCTCCATCTCCATGAGGGACCATGTCTGAATACACTATAGGCAGTCTAGGGCAGGGCTGTATCCAGTTAAACTAAATAGGAAAGGGCCCAAGATTTGGCGAGTGTGACATCCCCCACTCTCACTAGCTGAGCTCCAAGGGATCCAGGGCAGAGGGTCTCCTAGTGCAGTGGTCGGCAAACTCAGTCAACAGCTAAATATCACCAGTACAATGATAGAAATTTCTTTTGAGAGCCCAATTTTTTAAACTATATAAGTAGGTACATTGCTATTAACTTAATTAGGGTACTCCTAAGCGGGCCTTTGCTTAAAACTCAAGTGGCCAAAGAGCCACATGTGGCTCGCGAGCTGCAGTTTGCTGACCACTATCCTAGTGATTCAGGATTCTCGGGAGCCAGGGTGACCGATCCTGAAATTCAGTGTCGGGGTAATGATACTGTCTCCCCTGGATCTGAAGACTCAGGAGTAGTCTGCAGCACTAAGATTGGAACTTCAGTGCCCACTGGGTCCTAGAGTCAGAAGTTGCCAGAGGCTGGAGGGAAGAGTGGCAGTCTGATGGGCTAGACCTGGGACTTCCTTTAGAGTCCTGCATTTATCTTTTGGTTCCAGAAAGTCATTTCCCCTCCCGTCCCTGAAGGGCTTGGAACATGGCCCCTCTTGGTATTCTCAGGGACAAGTGTCAAGGCTGAGAAGACTCAGCTGGGACCAGCTTCTCTCCCTGATGGCTCCAGAGAGCAACGAAAGTAACAGGGCCAGGAGTCAGCTTGAAGGGCTGGATACAAAAGGGCTGGGCCAACGTATTCCTTCTTGGAGCCCAGTTGGGTTTGAGTTGCAGCCAAGGAAAAAGTCAAGAGTAACCTGGGGTCATGAGCAAAAGGGCTGAGCGGGACTCTACCCAAGGAAGTTGTGTGTTGGACTTAAAGGGGGTATGTCCTCTCCCTAACTTCCCACTCCCCGCCCCCAACCCCCTACCTTTCCTCACCAGGCAGACACGTTGCGTGGCAGGCGGCGATGGCGTGGCTGGTGGCGGCAGTAACACTTGCAGGGGCAAGAATTAAGCACCTGGAAGGGCGGCCAGTGGCGTCGGGCAGCAGTGTTAGCCGTCCCCGCTGGAGGAGCTCCGCCGCCACCACCACCTCCACCGCTGTCAGTGATGGTAGCTGCAGTCCGTTCACGAGGACGCTCTCCAGGTGCACCATCCTCACGGGTCGCGCCCCGGGCAGCGCGCGGGCCCTTGTTTCTGCGTGTGCGGGTTTTGATGGGCACGGGCGTGGGCGCAGGTGGTGGTGGTTCGGCCTTAATAGGAGCTGGGGTCGGGGCCGGGGCCGGGGCGGGGGCCGGGGCCGGGGCCGGGGCCTGGGCCTGGTCTGCAGCCAAGGCGAGGGGCGCGGCGGTAGCCTGGGCGGACTCCAAGTGGCCTGAGCCTGGGTTTGGTGGGAGCGCCGCAAACAGTGGCCTTGGCTGGAGAACTGGGGGCTGCGGTATGGGCTGCGGCGCCAGAGGCGGTGTGGGCGGTGGCGTGGGCGGTGGCGGAGGCGGTAGCAGCTCCTGTTGGCCCGGAGGCCTGGGGCGCACCGGCTCTCCATTGGTGGGCGCTGGGAAGATGAACATAGGCGGTGCAAGCAAAGCGGGTGCGGGCCTCCGGGGCCCGGGAGCTGGGTGCGTCTGCCCTGGCGGAGGCTGCAAGGAGCCCCAGGGACCTGAGAACGCGGCTGCGCGCCGTCTGGGGGCCCCGATGCCTCCGCCTGCCCCGTTGAAGCGGAAGTGGCGTTCAGGGCCATCGGGAGGGTTCACCCAGTCAAATTTGGGTTTGGAGCCTGGGAAGGTGGTGTAGGGTGGTGGCGGAAGGGCCCGGGCGTGGGACGCAGGCACGGAGGGGGGTCCAGAACACCCCTCGCCGTCTCCATTACCGCCCTCTGCTTCCTGGGTCACCCGAGGGGCCTCTCCAGGGGAGCGAGCGGCCCCGGGAGCCAGGGGCCCTTGCTTCAGGACCTCGGCATAAGAGATGGCGCTCGAGGCAGTGGAGAAGAGTCCCCTGCCTCCACTGCCCCCTAGCGAGACTTTGGCGACTAAGGAACTCGATGCTGCCGCTGGGGACAAAGGAGGCCCCGACTTGAAGGTGACTTTACACAGCAGACTCAGGCCGGACTCGGAGGCCACCGGCCGGGCCATTTCACCCTCGCCTGCTTGGGCAGGAGCTCCGCCGCCGGCCCTGCCGGCTGCCTGGCGCTCACTGCTGCAAGGGACCTGGTTTTCTATGGGGGCTGTGGCCAGTGTGGCCAGAGCAGAACTTATTTTGTGGTCCGGGGTCTGCTGGTCGGAAGGGGGCGGTGGTGACATCTTTCGCGGCTCCAAGGATGCGGGAGTCAGGGATGGGGCCCTCGGGACTGGATCGGGGTCCTCTTCCGTTCGTGGCAGAGGCGGCGGCGGCGGCGGCCGCGGCGGCGGCGGCGGCGGCGGTGGTGGCGGCGGCGGCAGCAGTGGGCGGAGGCTCGGAGGGTCGCCCTGGCCGCGATGGCTTGCTTCCAGTAGACCACGGATCCGAGGCACCGGAGTGCCTGTGGATTTTCGCCACTTGGACGGCGTGGGCAACATGGTGCCCACGGGGGGTGGGGATGGTGTGGAGACCGCGGCCGCAGCCGGCTCCTCTGCAGGGGGTATCACTGGCGAGGGCAGTTCTAAGGGCAGGGGCAGGGGTGAGGGTGAGGCCTGGGACTCCGGGGGTACCAGAAGTCCCTGGGGCGCTGAGCTGCTGGGGAACCAGACGCCCAGCCCGCGAGCCAGGCGTACGGCAGGGGAGGAGGGGGTCACCTCGGGCTCTGCCAAGGATGTCCGGCGGGAATCGGAAGAGCGGTCCGAGGCCTGCTCTTTTCGGGAGCCCCCGCCCGCGGACGGCTCCGACTGCACGTTCCCCATTTCTGACGGAGGTCGGAGACTGTGGTCAGAAAAACTTGCATCAGTCTGTCTGCCAGGACTGTGGGGACCGGATGAAACTGGCTGTACTTGGTCCACTCAAGCACCAGTCTCTAGACGCATTCGTGTTCCCTGACTCACGACGTTCACGCCTTCTTCCCCATGGCCCCATACAGCTGCTGTGTACACACAGGCTCCATCCTTACTTTAATGAGGTTCCATCCCTAATGCCTTGCCTGGCCCCTCAGCTCACATCCCTACACTTTGGCCACCTCCTAGGTCTTCAGGCTCCAAGACACAGGTCTTGCCCGTTTTTCTCTCTCAGGCCACATCACTCATGATGGTTGTGCTCAGTAGCCTATAAGGTCTACAGGTTCAAGCTTCTCTCCCTGCACAGTAACCTCACCCCCCAATTGTCTGGAATAGGGCCTCCTCAACACCGACTCCGGCCTGACCCCGCCTCCACCTAACAAATTCCAGGTGTTCTAGTAATGCTCAGCCCTCAGTCCTCACCTCTAATCCTCTGACATATCTCTCTCTCTCTCTCTCTCTCTCTCTCTCTCTCTCTCTCTCTCTCTCTCTCTCTCTCTCTCTCTCTCTCTCTCTCTCTCTCTCTCTCTCTCTCTCTCTCTCTCTCTCTCTCTCTCTCTCTCTCTCTCTCTCTCTCTCTCTCTCTCTCTCTCTCTCTCTCTCTCTCTAGATCATTTGGGGCCTGCCTTCTATCCAAGCAGCGGCAGCGCTTCAGGCCTCACTCCTAAACTCTTTCCTGCTCGGGTTCTACCACTGGCCTCAATACTCAGGCCCCACCCCTTCCCCCAAGTTCTGCCCTTGGCCCAGAGGTTCCCCACTCACCGATTTCTCCTGCCCACCAAAGTTCACACCACGGCCCCCTGGGCCCAGGGCAGGGCGGGGAACGGCCGTAGAAGAAAATAACCGAAAAGAACGGCGATGCGGGTGAAGGCAAGTGGGCGAGACAGCTAGGGCGGACCCCGAGATCTAGGCCACGCCCCCTGGTTCGAGGCCACGCCCTCCTGTTAGCTTGAAACTGGCCTCTCAAGAACCTGGATCTCCTTTGGAAATACTCGGGGGTCTTCCCTACTCCTAGGCCTGGAGTTCCAAGCCCCACCCCTTTAGGACGTTTTCCTTAGCCCCGCCCCTTTGCAATACCCCGCCGTCCCATTAGTCCGTCTCCCTAAGGCCCACCCTTTAGGAACACTGCCTCGTAGCTCCTCTCTTGGATCTCTCATGCGCCCCTTCCCCAAAGCAATTTACTCCAGGTCTCCTTCACTACGCCCTCCACCGCGGCAGCGGACACCTAGCGAGCCAAGCTGCCTCAGCTGCGAGCGGAGCGGCCGGACGGCCCCCCCAGGAGTCACTAGATCACCTCTTCCCGCGGCCTCGCCATGGCGACCTACGGACAGAGCTGCGCGCGGCTAATGTGTATTCCTCCATCATATGCTGACCTTGGCAAAGCTGCCAGAGATGTTTTCAACAAAGGATTTGGTTTTGGGTTGGTGAAACTGGACTGGAAAACAAAGTCATGCAGTGGCGTGGAATTCTCAACATCTGGTTCATTTAATACAGGCACTGGTAAAGTTACTGGGACCTTATAAATGGTGTGAGTATGGTCTGACTTTCACAGAGAAATGGAACACTGATAACACCCTGGGAACAGAAATAGCAATTGAAGACCAGATTTGTCAAGGTTTGAAACTGACATTTGATACCATCTTTTACCAAACACGGGGGGAAAAAGTGGTAAAATCAAGTCTCTGACAAGAGGGAATGTATAAACCTTGGATGTGATGTTGACTTTGATTTTGCTGGACCTGCAATCCATAGTTCAGCTGTCTTTGGTTACGAAGGCTGGCTTGCTGGATACCAGATGACCTTTGACAGTGCCAAATCAAAACTTACAAGGAATAGCCAAAACCGGTTTGGCTCAGTGGGTAGAGCGTCAGCCTGCAGACTGAAAGGTCCCAGGTTTGATTCTGGTCAAGGGCATGTATCTTGGTTGACGGCACATCCCCAGTAGGGGGTGTGCAAGAGGCAACTGGTCGATGTTTCTGTCTCATCGATGTTTCTAGCTCTCTATCCCTCTCCCTTCCTCTCTGTAAAAAATCAATAAAATATATATTTTTTAAAAACTTACAAGGAATAACTTTGCAGTGGGCTATAGGACTGGGAACTTTCAGCTGCACACTAATATCAATGATGGGACAGAATTTGGAGGCTCTAAACCTTGCTTGGACTTCGGATACCAATTTCTCTCGCTTTGGTATTGCAGCTAAATATCAGTTGGATCCCACTGCTTCCATTTCTGCAAAAGTCAACAACTCAGTTTATTTGGAATGGGCTATACTCAGACTCTGAGGCCTGGTGTGAAGCTTACACTGCCTGCCCTGGTAGATAGGAAGAGCATTAATGCTGGTGGCCACAAACGGGCTTGCCCTGGAGTTGTTGGCAGTCTTCCTAAAGGAGGCTTAATCCAGCTGAAAGCAATCTCTGGGAATGGATATCAGAAGATTTGGCCTTAATATATTTCCAGTGTAGCCAAAACCGGTTTGGCTCAGTGGATAGAGCATCGGCCTGCAGACTGATAGGTCCCAGGTTGGATTCCGGTCAAGGGCATGTATCTTGGTTGCGGGCACATCCCCAGTAGGGGTGTGCAAGAGGCAACTGATTGATGATTCTCTCTCATCGATGTTTCTAACCCTCTACTCTCTATCCCTCTCTCTTCCTCTCGGTAAAAAAATCAATAATATATATTATATATATATATATATATATATATATATATATATATATATATATATATATATATATATTTCCAGTGTGACCAGCAGGTTTTTTCCCCTTCAAGAAGGTGATCAAAACAGGATGAGCTAAACAAGAGCTGTGTTTTAAATATGTATATAGACAGTTACTTATTAGCTGATTTCTAGTTGAATTGGTTATCTAGTTACCAATGCGGCAGTCCTGCAGTCACCTATACATTATTTAATGTATTTAACTGTTAAATGAGCTACCCACCAATAATGAAATAGACCTTTATGAAAACTGTAAACACACACACACACACACACAAAAAAAAAAAAAAAAAACAACAACAACAACACAATTTACTCCTAAACTCACAAGACCCTCTCTGTCCATTGCCCGCCCAGAAGGCCCATTCACATGGACTGGCCCTTCTCCAAGACAGTACTCACTTGTCTGCGCCTTGGGCGTCCTGTCTCTCCTTTCCCGGGGCCTCAGACCTCGCCCCCTAGTGAATGCTCCCTTCTCGCCCCAAGCCTTTCAAATGCGGCAGCACTTAGCCCCTTCCGTCTAGTACCCAAAGCGTAGACCCTCGCTCTTTAGAACGCTGAGACCAGGCCATGTCCCGGACCCCTTCCCCACATCCTTAGGCGCTCATGGGTGGGAAAGGAGGGTATCCTTCCTAGATCCTGAGAAAATAGGAGCTCAGGCTGTTCCCAGTAGCTGGTGCCGGGCTCTAGGACCCAGCGGGCAAGTACTCCCGCCTGGCGTTTACACCACCCCAAGCCTCCCCCTCCCCCTTCCTCCCCCCTCGCCCCGGCTCCCGGAGCCGTCTCTAGCGCCACCGGAGCAAGCGAGGGAGCCGGAGCGAAAAGAAGGAGGAGGAGGAGGCCACGTCGCCGCCGCTCGGAGCCCGGCCGGAGCCTCCCAGGCAGGTGCCGAGGAGGGTGAGGGGGCGAGGGCTGTCCTGGTGTGGGGACGACCTGCACCGCGTTGCGCCTCCTGCCCCCCGGGGCGTCCCCAGATCCTGGCTGGAAGAACAAGGGGGTGGGGGCTCCTAAACTGCGCGGCAGCCATTTGGGGTAGCAGTCTCCATTCGGGGGGGCCTGGACTTCCTCCATTCATAAAATTCTGTACAGGACCCTCACCATTGAGAAGCTGTGGGACCACTCCTCCCGGGAAACAGATGTGTGGAGAGCATAGAGCACCCAGAAATCCCGGCGTCCCTTCCAAGCGAGGCCCTGCAGGGGACCCCTGCCCTTTTTCTCTGCTTCACCTGTTGTCCGGGGAGGCGGGCAGACAAAGGAAGCAGTGTCACGTGACTGCTCATTCACAAAATCCCATCCCATTGAGTAAAGGGGGCTGGGGGCGCTGGCGGCTTTGCGGCCGCCCCTACCCCTATTGAAGGGCTGGGGAAACCGGTAGTCTGCTAGTGGGGGAAAGGGCCAGAGTTCGCTGCATGGGTCCCTAAGTCTGGGACGCCAGGGTCCCTGCACTAGGTGATAGTGAGGGGCAGAGGGCTAAGTCTCCTGAGCTGGGGGGGAGGGGGTATGGGAGAGGGGGGCGCGAGGTAAGATGGTTTTGAAGGATGCTGGGGCGGGGAGAAGGAGGGATCAACTCCCACCTCCTTCCCCCGCCAATATCTCCCCTTCGCCTTCCCCCCTTCGCCTTCCCGTGGCCAGGGCCTGAGGGTGCAGGCTTGCTTTTTTGTTTTGTTTTTGTGAATGAAATGCTCTCTGGATGTGTTTCTGTCGCCAGTTTCTGGCTTCCTCTGCCTCCATCTCCTTGCCGGCCTCTTTCTGGTCATTTCTGGTTCTCTCGCTGACCATCTCCCGATGCTGGGTGACTCAGTGAACTTTGCATCCGGTCTCATTCATAAATGCGGGAAGGAGGGGGAGGGGCGGGGAGAGCCCAGTGGCCTGAACGCAGCGTGCAGAGGCAGTGAAGGGGGGACTGGAGCTGACTTGATGGGCTCTAAGAAAATACGTATGCGCAGGCACCCAGCTGTGAGGGGGAAGAATGGGTGGGGCTGTGGGTATGAGTAGGAGCGGAGAGAAGGGAAGAGATGGAGTTGATGGGTATGAGCAGGAGGGGGAAGGGAAGTGGAAACCCAAGGCTGTGGGGGTCCGGATGAGAAAGATGGGGAGAGGGAGAAAAGGGGTATGGAAAGAAAAGGTAGATATGGAGAAGGCAGGGAGGGGAGAAAATAGATGGCACGAGGAAGAAAGAAGCCATGCTGGAAAAAGGGGGTAGGGAGAGAAAGTGGGCACTGGGAAGAAGCTGGAAATGGAAGGTAAGCTGAGTATCAAAGGTGAAAGTTGCAATGGATCCAGATGTGAGAAATGAAGAGGGGAGATGAAGGGTTCGTGAGACATCGAAATGTGAGAACAGGATTGGAGTTCACTGACCATGTTATCCCTGTCCCCCCACCTCCAGGTACATGGTTCGGGTCCGAGCTGTGGTGATGGCCCGAGATGACTCCAGTGGGGGCTGGCTGCCTGTGGGGGGCGGGGGCCTCAGCCAGGTGAGCTTATGTCGGGTCCAAGGGGCCAGGCCCGAGGGGGGGACCCGCCAGGGGCACTACGTCATCCACGGGGAGCGACTCCGGGACCAGAAAGTGAGCCACCCTGGGGCACGGGACTAGGGTGGGGGCCTGGGAAAATAGGGAAATGGGCCTGGGAGTGCAGAGGTGAAGTCAGGTCATCTCCAAGCCTGGGAATCAAACCTGAGTATGGGATGGAATTTGGAAGTGGATATCTGTCCTATGGGTAAAAGTTGGGAGTTTTGGGAACACTTGGAGTATTCGGCAGGTCTTGTCCACTGCCATTGCCTGATGGACTATCATAGCAGCCTCCTCACTGCTCTCCTTGCCCTGCTCCTTCCCCCACCTCAGTGTGTACCACTGGGGCTCTGCTAACACATCACTCAGGTCACATCCCTCCTCTGCTTACAACCTCTCACTGCTCCATCTTGTTCTCACCGCAGTGCCCTATACTCTTGGCCCCTATCTGCCCTAAATCCCTGGAGGCATCTGGTGGGGGACTAACTGGAAATGTTAAATAGGGCTTGCAACCCTACGTTTGGGTTCAGCAGACATATTCTGGGCACGATAGGGAAGAACAGTGTTAAAGTTTCAGTTAGGGGTGTAGTAGAAAGATCTAGATGATTTGCAAAGGCTTGGGGGAAGGGTTGCATTTCAGGGGAGGGGCCAGAAGGGGATTTGAAATGGTGTGAAAGAATATAATGATGTTGGGCAAGGATATAAGGAATTATCTAGGGTGTTACCAGCATGTGTTGGGTAATTTGTGGGAGTTTGATAAGAATTTGGGGGTAGTGTTTTGGGAGATTATCAGGGCATTGATAAGGGATTAACTAATATTTTGAGGAGTTTAATAAAGTTTGGGGAATACTATTGAGTCAGAAGGAAGGATATTTGATTATCAGAAATGAACTAATTTTTTGAGGCATTCAATAAGATTTGGGATTCCTATTGGGATATCAGAAGGGGGAAATTGGAAAAAGGGATCAGGGGGCTTGGGGGAAATATTGAAGTATCAGACATCTGCTCGATGAAATTGGGGAGTGATATTGATCAGGGTTCAGGGGTACACCTAGGATAGAGAAATGAGGTCTGGGGCACGCAGAGAAGCTGGGTGGAGGAGAAGTCCTGCACATGTCTGGAAGAGGTGTCTGACCTGCTCCTCCTGCCCTAGACCACCTTGGAATGTACCCTGAGGCCAGGCTTGGTTTACAACAAGGTGAACCCCATCTTCCACCACTGGAGCTTGGGTGACTGCAAGTTTGGGCTGACATTTCAGAGTCCTGCAGAAGCTGATGAGTTCCAGAGGAGCCTGCTGGAAGCACTGGCAGCACTGGGTCAAGGTGAGTAGTAGAGGTGGTGGGCACTGGGGGCTGGGGTGAAGGGGTGGGAGAAGTTGGGGTACATGGAACTCATTCTCTGCTTCTCTCCCTGTCCCAGGCTCACTCACTCCCTCCTCCTCTTCTTCCTCCTCCCCTTCCCAGGACACTGCAGAGACCCCCTGCCCTCTGACGGTGAGTTCCCAGGACCAGCTCTGCTGGAAGGGCAGGGCTTTGTTTCTGTTCTACAACCATTATTGAGCACCTACTGTATATCAGGCATCATGCCACAAGCTAGGGACAGAAATATCAGGTCAACTCTATCCCACATATTCTAATTTCTGTTCTATCATGATAGAACATATTCACACATTCATTCAAGGGTATTTACTGACCAACTTTAATTAGCAGTGTTTTAGGCACTGAGGATACATCACTGAACAAAACAAAGTCCTTTTCCTCGTGGAGCTTCTCTTCTAGTGTGGAAAGGCAGATTAAAAAAAAAAAAAGATAAACTATAAAATGAATAAATATTAAAAGTAAATATATGAACAAATTAATGACAAGTCCATCCTTTTAGTGTCTCAGGGTACAAACCTTGAAGTCAACCTCGACGCCTCTCCTTTTTTATGCCTTTTCTATCAGCAAATATTGGTTTCACTTTCAAAATGATCAGACTCTGTCTCCAATCTGGTAACTGCCCAACCTTATCTCCTAACTAGACCATCCCACCAGCTTCTCATTGTCAACGCCTTCACCCCCCAAAAACAAAACAAAACAACAAAACAAAACAAAACACACCTCTTCCTGAACACAACCAGAGGGACCCTATTGATTATCTAAGTCAGATTATGGCCATCCCCCACTCAGAACCCTCCCCAGGGCTCCATCTCACTCAGGGTAAAGGACAAAGTCCTTACAGTGGTACTTAAAATCTACACCATCCGGCCCCCTCTTTTTCTCCCTCTTCCCCACTCTGTTTCAGCCACACATTGCCTCACTGTTACTCCAAAAGGGTAGGCACATTTCTGTCTCGGAGCCTTTGCACTGGCTGGTCCATCTGTCTTTGGACATTCTTTCCTAAATTTACACATGGCTCATTTCCTTATATTTTTCAGGACTTTACACACATCGCCTTCTCACTGAGGCCCTCCCTGAAGAACCTGTTAAATTGCAATATCCTAATGCTCCTTATTCTGTTCTAATTTTCCCCCAACTTCTAAAATTTGTATGTATTTTCTTTCCCAATAGACAATTTTCTTATCTTTTAATTTACTGTCATTCTTCCATGCTAAAATGTCAGCTCCTAGAGGGCAAGGATCTTTTGTTGCTTTCTTGCAGCATCTCCAAGACTTAAAACAGGGCCCGGTAGATACAATAAAGTGCAGTAAAGATGTGTCAAATAAATTTATTGAATCAATAAATGCCCAGAATGTCCAATGTGATTTAGCATTTGCTGGGAACAGTGAGAGTTGCTTGAGACACTGAGGAACAAAACTGGTTCTCTGGCCCTTGCTGGTTTGGCTCAGTGGATAAGGCATTGACCTGTGAACTTAAGGGTCCTAGGTTCGATTCTGGTCAAGGGCGTGCAGGAGGCAGCTGATCAATGATTCTCATCATTGATGTTTCTATCTCTCCCTCTCTGAAATCAATAAAAATATTTAAAACACACACACAAACAAACAAACAAACAAAAAAACACAAAAAAATGGTTCTCTGGGCAGACCAGTAATGGGAGATTCAGGTGGGTCTACAAAAAACACATAGATAGTTCTTGGTTATTGAGTGCTTACTCAGGAAAGGTGGTGTGCCTTCTATGCCTCATCTCACATCTCTACAAGAGCCTATTTGAGCCTGCCATGTTGTGGGTGTTCAATGAATGGCTATTGAAGATAGTAAACAGATGACTTAGGAATGACTCTCAAGTTACAGAAAGGAAACTGAGAGTCCGAGAAGTGATGATTCAGCTTGTAAAGGATAGAGCTTGGTCTGGGTGGGAAAGAAGGAATTGTAGGTGGATGAAACTGCCCCAATAAAGGTGTGGTGGAGAACATGAGGCAGGAGGGCAGCTGGCTGGCCAAGAGAGAAGGTTTCTGAGAAGGGAGAAAGATTATTTGATGTTATGTAGGTTCATGAGCTGAGCAGGTAAAAAGGATGGGGGGGGGGGGCATGCACCCGTGTGTGTGTGTGTGTGTGTGTGTGTGTGTGTGTGTGTGTATAAATAACAATGATAACCATTTCTAGCTCTTCCTGAACTTCAGGCATGTATTATGCCCTTAACAGTGGAACTTAACCACAGCCTTAAGAATAGACACTATTATAATCCTAATTTTACAAAGGAAGAAGCTGAGGCTCAAAGAGATTAGCTCATTTGCTGGAGGCCACACAGCTAGTCAGAGGGGGGTAGAGTGGTTTGAACCCTGGCCTGGCTGGCCACAGAGCCCTCTCTGGAGGGGAGGGGGTCTATGTGAGGGCATCAGCTGGGTTGTGCCTATCTAGCTCTGAGGCTACCAATCTTCCCCAGTCCCATGTGGACAGCGACTCCTCCTCCAGTCACAGCCGCCAGGAGACCCCTCCCACCACCACTGCTGCAGCCCCCCAGGTCACCGAGGAGTCAGCTTCCAGCTTCCGGCCAACCACGCCACCCCAGCATCGATGCTCCTCCACTCAGGTGCGCCCTTCAATCCCCAGCAGAAGTCTGGGGCACCTCATGGGGGGCCGGAGTCCTGAAGTGGGCAGGAACTGAGGCTTTAGATGGGCAAGAAACCACAAACACACTAGGGTGGTTGACTGGAGTTCATGGTGGGATAGGGTGGAATTTGAAAGTCTGGGATCGTTGGAGGGTTGGGTGAGGGTTTCTAGCGTCTCCTGCGCTCCTGGAAATTAGTTCTGGGCTCCAGAGGGGTTTGGTGGACGACTTGGGCCATGAATTATTCTAGTATTAGGGGGTTGCTCTTGGATTTTGAGAGAGCACAGGACGGGAGCCTGGACTACTGGGCTCTTAAGGTGTGGGCTTGGTGCCTGGATTCTTCTGTCTGTTCCTAAATTTCCTCTGACCCTGAGAGAGGAGTGGGGCTAGGGGTTTGGAAGACTGCTGGACTCAGACCAGGTCCCAGGACAGGATCCTCCGGTGAATGAACCCTGTGGAGAAGTCTTTGAATTCTCAGGTTTTCTGAGACTAGACTGGATTGTGATTGTGATGGGATGTCAGGGATCACAAACCCCACTAATGGGTTCTGTCTCTTCATCCCACAGAGCTATCCTCCGCTTCTACCGTTCACAGGATTTCCGGAGCCCTCAGAGGCCCTGGCCGGGGCTGGGGGGCTGGGTTGGGGCAGCCGCGGTTATGAGGATTACAGGCGCGCCGGACTGCCCTCGCCCCTCACCCTGTCCACCTGCGTTGTTCGTTTTGCCAAGACTGGCGCGTTGAGGGGTGCAGCCCTGGGGCCCCCAGCCGCCCTACCTGCTCCTCTCCCAGAGGCTGGACCTCCCGCACCAGCCAAGGCCTCCCCGGAGGCGGAGGAGGCTGCACGCTGCGTGCACTGCCGCGCGCTCTTCCGCCGCAGAGCAGATGGGCGTGGTGGCCGCTGTGCCGAGGCCCCGGACCCGGGTCACCTGCTGGTGCGCCGTCTCAGCTGCCTGTGGTGTGCAGAGAGCTTGCTCTACCACTGCCTGTCGGATGCCGAAGGCGACTTCTCGGACCCATGTGCCTGCGAGCCGGGCCATCCGCGCCCTGCTGCGCGCTGGGCCGCGCTGGCTGCACTTTCCCTGGCGGTGCCCTGCCTCTGCTGCTATGCGCCCCTGCGTGCCTGCCACTGGGCTGCAGCACGATGTGGCTGTGCGGGCTGCGGAGGTCGCCACGAGGAGGCCGTGCGGTGAGGATGGCCTGGTGGACCCAAAATTGAGGGTCCAGGACCCCGGGCTCCGTTTGGAACCCAAATCTAAACTTAGGCACACCTGGAACTTGAAGCTCGAGTTTAAATTGAGAGACCCCAGATCTGGAACCTGGACTCCAAATCTAGGACTGAGGGATCCCAGGCCCAGCTTCAGTGAGCTGTCTGCCTAAGTCTTAGGCATGCTGAGTTCTGGCATCCTTATCCTGCTGTTCCCCTCCCGCTGTGACCTAGACTGAGGCGACTAGCCATCCCAGCTCTACACCTCAGGGCACACAGGGCCCTGGCAGAGGCAGGGCCCCGAACCCTGACTGAATGCAGATTACAGCCCCAAAGAGTAAGGAGTTTCGAATACCTGACCCTGCCTGTATACAATTATTCCCACATCTTGAGAATCACCCCAAATGATTCCTGAATGCTCATCTAAATTGGGGCACCCATATTTGAGGTGTTCTAGCCCTAGGACCCCTAAGACACCAAACCCTCTTAAGATGCCCTGGGTTCGAGGATATGCCCAAATAGATGTTCTCTGACCAAAATGGCTTGGGATACTAATCTTATAGCCTCATCTTTTCTCCCCCTTCCCTCCTCCATCCCCCAGTCCAGACATCAGATTCCAAGATACTCTGAGATTCAGAGATCAAAGACAGCTGCAGACAACCTGCCCCTCCCAACCTCCCCAGCCAATGCTTCCAGAAGCTTTGAATCTCATATAGGACACTGAGGTGCCTAGTACTTTCAGATTAGGACTGAAGGCCACCAACACCTCAGGACCCAAGACACTGGTACCAAATCCTTAGATAGCCCTCTTGGACTTAGGTTTCAAATCCCAGAATGTCCTGGAATCTTTGGCTTCTTTGTACCCACAGATTCCCCAAGGCTGGAAGCCCGGCTCCCAGAGGATGGGCTGTTCATAACAACCCTGACCTTGGTCCCCAGCTTAGAGTGACCCCAAGGTGCCACTGACCTTTCAAATTCAGGGCTCAAGCCTACATAGCATTGGGATTATCACAGACCTGAGATCTTGGTCCCTTTATACCAGAGGGAGATTTGAGGTGCCCCAGGACCCCAGCACCCTCAGATCTGATTTCTTTGAACTCAAACTTCTCTAGTCTGATATTCCCTGTGATCTGCTGTCCCTTGAATTCTGCTATCCATAGGTCCTTGAGACCCCCAAGATCCCAGGCTATGGCATTCTGGAATTCTAGTTCCAAAGTCATTCTCTTCCCCCACCCCCTGTATGTTCCCAGCAAACCACATAACTATCTTTATCCTGGGGGGGTGGGGAGACCACCATTGTGAACTGTTTTTGGGTTCTAGGACCACTGAGTTCCTCTATTCTCAGCATTTCCATAGGTGATTGTGCAGGCTATTCACTGACCAAAGGCACCTGGCTACTGTGGTGAGGTGGCTGGGATTCACCTCACACTGCTCTTGGAGGAAGGTGTGCCTTTTTCTAAGCTGCACAAAGGCACATTTGGGGCCAGCTATGGCTCTGCTGGTGCACACACATACTCTCCAGCCCTCCAGGCTCTTCCCCAAGCCCAATCTTGAGTCCCGGTCCTAGTCCAAGCTTTTAGTGTTTCACCCTCCATTAACCCTTTCTCTTACATCTCAGAGTTGAAGGTTGCTTCAGAAGTTTGAAAGCCTGTTTCATGGCCCCCTGAGATTCCTGTTCAGGGGAAAGGGGATGCCAAAGTTTCTTTTCCTTGAGTGGAATGGGACTTCAGGATCCCTCAAATCTGATAGCCTAAATAGGGATGAGGGGACCGAAGTCTTGGAGCAACACCATCTTAAATCAGTATATGGGCTTGGGTCCTGCATCTGGTGAACTTATCTTTCTTCAATACCTAGACTTGGGTGGCATGGTTTAAGAACTAGGTCAGGGAGCCTAGAGAGATAGAGCTTTCTGTCACTTCTTTTAAATGATTAACTATTTCTTACATCTGAACCTGTGAGATTCAGCTCTCCCAACCAGACTCTGGGATGGGTAAGAAAAAAAGAGGGTGTCCCTCTCATCCCCATTCTACCCAACTCTCATCACTGTTAGACCCACCAGAGCTGAGACAGAGGCACTGGGGGCTGGGGCACCCTGGGTCCCCATCCCCCTTTCTCCAGTCCCTCCCTTCAGTGATGAGCAGGGGAAAGCTCCATTCTTAACCTACCTCGTTTTGGGGAGGGGTGGGACAGGGGACCAGATGCTGTAAGGTACTGTGGGATCTACATGAAACGGTGGGGGGCTGGTGTGAAGATCCCCCAACACCACCTTGTCAAGGTCTCCCAGTCCTGCGCCCTGATGATACCTCTGATCCATGAATTCTCTTCATCACCCCAAAATTGGGTGCATGGAGGGCTGATCTTGGGACCCAGGAAGACCTCACACCCTGGAGCCCAGGCCTAATTTCCCAGCTGCTTGCCCCTCAGATTGGATACTTGGCCCCTAGATTTAGGGGAGGTACCCTGACATTTATTTTCCTGATTTGATTCCAAGCCAGTCTGTGACCTCAATATTGTTACTGAAGTGGTGAGGGAGCCAAAGACCCAGCCTTGTCATCGGAGGAGGGGGCATGATATTCACTCCAAGAAATGTCTTCAACAAAGTCTCAGCCTGTGTTTTTATTTGCATTGATGTGCCCCATCCACTCACCTTCCTGAACTGTCAAACCAGTCTCCTACCCAGTTCTCTTCTTCGTATCCGTTAGTCCCAAGCAGACGCTTAGCTGAGTTTATACATTCCACCAAATGCACTTATTGAGCACCCATTATATGCCACGTCCTGTTTTAGGCTCTGGAGAGAAAGCAGTGAACAGAACATAAAAATGTCCCACAAGCTGCTTATGAACTTTATAGGGAATGGACATGTAAGAAACGATATGTACTGTGGGGAAAACGTGGAGATGAGGGATGAAGTCAGTAGTAGCCAGGGTGATTAGGTTAGGCCTCACTGTTGAGCATCTGAATAGAGCCCTGAGAGATGTCTTCTGGAAGAACTCTGCAAGTAAAAGAAGGGTCAGTAGAAGGCGCCGGGAAGAGCATGTCTGGAAGTCAGGGAAACTAAGGGAGCTGGAGTATCTGGAGGGGAGAAAGCAAGGAGGAGGTTACTTAGGAGATGAGGGCGGATCTGTGGGGACTTGCAAGCCATTGCAAGGACTTTGGTGTTCACCCTGGGTGAGAGGAAGCTATAGGAAGCTCCAAACATTGGGGGGGGGGGGGGGAGGCTGTGAGCTGACTTAGGTGTTCACAGGTTGCCTCTGGGGAACAGACATTGGGAAGGGAGGTAGGGAGGAGGCTGATGTGATGGTCCTGGGGAGACGATGGTGCAGAGGACCAGGGTGAGAGCAGTGGAGGTGGGGAGAAGTGTTTTGAAGGTAGAGTTCACAAATTTAGATATGGGGTTTGCTATAAAGAGAGAAGTCAAGGTTATGATTCCTGGATTTTGGCTTGGGCAATTTTTAATGTCTTATTAGGGTTAACGAAGGCCTCCTGAATACCCATTTTTGAGGTAGACAGGACTAAGGTGGAGCCAGATTAAGGGTAGGTAGGCTCTGCCCCTGAGGAGGAAATTCTGGCCTTTGTTCTTGCCTGAGGCTAAACACCTAGGCCACCCCTGCTCCCAGCAGAATTAAACTAGGAACTACTGGAGATCAGAATAAAGAGACGGTAAAAGATTAAATCTGGACCCAATTTTAACAACAACAAAACAGTAGCAGTAATAACAGTAGTAATAGGTAAATAGTTAAACGCATGGACTTCAGAATGATCTAAATTTGAGTTCTGGCACCACTACACATTCAGTGTAACTTACCCTCTCTAAACCTCAGCTACTTGGTCCAGAGACACACAGGAAATGCTCAATATATGATATTCTACTAAGCACTTACATACAGGGCTCTAACCCTCACAACTGTAAAAGGTAATGTCCCCTTCCTTGTAGGTTAGAAGGGAATTTGGCAGGGACATATGTGAGTAGTGGAGTCAAATCCTAACCCCTGTTGGCCTGACTCCCAGGGTGTAATATCAGTCACTAGCTATGTGGCACCTGCTGCCTCTCTCCAAGGCTTGGGAAACAGAGGGATGAAGGCAAGACAAGCACAGTGTGATCCATGAGGAGGAGCTCTGTTGGGGCCACACTTTCTGAGTTCCTGATTTAACTCCAACCCTAAGGAGGGAGGGAATAAGTACGTTTTTGGATTTGGAGCGGAGGTGGAAGAACTTGGTCTAGGGTGCTTTAAGAGAGGAGGGAGGCTGAGGAAAAAGTCTAAGGTGCTACTACGTTGCAGCAGTAGCGACACCCACTGGCTGGACCCAACAGCCGGGACCCTGGACTCAGCTCCGACTTCCTGGGCCTGGAGAGCTTCCAGGCCCCTCATTGCCATCCCAGGCGGCCCGCCTAAAATACGGCGCGGGCGGGCCTGGGCGGCTCGTCTCCCGCTGCGACAAGGAGCGTAGAGGCCCTTTGCGAGAAGAGGCTGTGGGTCGGGCACGCTGCGACCGGCTGCGCACGCCGCTTTGGGGGCGGGGCCTCCCGCCTCCCGGCAGGGGGCGCACCCCTGCGAGGAGGTTACGTCTCCATGGAGGGGGCGGAGGCCGAGGCACGGGAGGGGGCCGCCGTAGCCCAGGACCTGCAGGCCCTGGGGTAAGGGGCGCGGTGTGGCGGAGGGCGGCGCTGGAAGGGGCAGGCCTGCCCTCGGGGATTCTGAGGGCCTCCCCGGCTCCCTCTCGCCCTGGCGCCGCCGCAGGTATGAGGACTTCCTGGAGGCGGCGGCGCGGAGCCCCCTGTGCCCAGACTTCAGGGCGCTGTGCGCGCGGCTGGCGGCTGAGCTGGCGACTCTGGGCGCCTTGGAGCGGGAGCGAGAGGAGGGCGCGGAGGCGCTGAGTGCCGGGGACGGTACGTGTGGAGCGACAGGCCCAGAGCGGGGAGCCCGGGGCCGCCGCCCCGCGCTGAGCCTTCTCCTCCCGCAGGCCCCGGCGCGGAGGAGGAATTCCTGCGACAGCTGCGCCGCCTGCTGGAGGAGCTGCACTGCCCGGACCGCGCGCTCTGCGGCGGGGACTGCGCCGCCGCGCTGCGGGAGCCGGGCGCCGGCCTGCGCCTTCTGCGTGAGCGGGGCGCCGGCGCGGGAGTGGGCGAGGCTTCGGCCCCGGGCGGGCGGCGCGCTGGGCGCGGAGCTGGGCCCAGGCGTCCCCTGAAGGGGCGTGGCCAGAGTGCGGGGGGGGGGGGACTGCGGGGGGGGGCGGCAGGTGGGTGTGGAGTCAGGACCTTGCGGGTGGATTTAGGGCTCTGAGTTGGGCGGGATTCGAATTTTGACGGAAAGATCCTGGAGCTCCAGTGGGTTGTGTTAGTTGGAGCCTGGCAGTTGGTTCTCTGGTGGGCGAGGTTCAAAGTCCGCAGGGGCCTGGGTCTCAAGTGGGTGGAGATTATTCTGGAGCTAGAGCCAGGGCCCTAGAAAGGCCAAACTAGAAAGAGGGAAGGTGTTTTTGTTTGTTCTAATCCTCACCTGGGGTCACTTTTCCCGTTGATTTCTAGAGAGTGCTAAAGGGAGGAGGGAGAGACAGAGAGAGAGAGAGAGAGAAACATCGACCTGAGAGAGACACATTGATTGGTTGCCTCTCGCGGCCACAACAGAGGTACCTGCCCTTGACCTTGAACGGGAATCAAGAGGGAGGAAGCTGCAGGAACTTTGTCCCTTCCCTCAAACCCCCTCCCCCGCCCCAAAGAAGCAGCTTTTTGGCTCAGGTGGGTGATTGTGCCACCCTCTTTCCCTGCTTTTAGGCTTTCTCTGCACAGAACTCCAGGCTGCCCGCCTCCTCTGCCTACACCAGCGGCTGGATCCCACCCCAGCGGTGCGCGAATCCCATGGGGAAGGGACAGAGGAGGGAGATGGCATGGTTCGGGAACTGATCCTTATCCTCCAAGCCCTGGGGTTGCTCAGACCTGCGCTGGGGACCCTCGCCAGCAGGCTTCTGTGGGAGTTGCATGCCAAGGTATAAAGCAAGAGTCCTCTCCTTACTAGAGCCACCCGTGGTCTGGGTCCCCAGGTTTGGGGAAACTAGGGTCGATGGAGAATTCCCACAGTTTCTTATAGTCATTCAGCCTCTTGACTTCTCCCATCAGGTCTCAGAGCTGCTGCCTTCCCTGCCCCCAGGATCCCTGCAGCCCCTTCTAAGCCACCCACTAGATGCACCCAGATGGGTAAGACTGTATGGCTGTATGCAAACAGTGTCTCATTCAGGGATGGGAGTGATATGACCAAGACCTTTCTCACCAGGAAGCATTGGAGTCTCTGTGCCAAAGCCTGGGAGATCAGTACTGCTGCCGCCGTTGCCTCCTCCTCAAGCGCCTGGACCTCACCATATCTGCATTCCACTGGAGTGATCGGGCAGAGGTGTGGGCATAGGACCCTGGAAGGGGCAAGGAGGCCCAATGGCGGGAGCTACCCTTGCAGGGAAGAGGAATTAAGGCCAGGAATATTACCCTCTTGCATGTTCTGAGGTCCAGGACAATGTTGAATCTTGTGAGGTTGGGGTCCTAGAATCTCAGAGCCTCCAGGGCCTTCTAGAATTCCCAGCTCTGAGTTGGAAGTGTTTTCAGAGCTATACCCCTTATTTAGGGAAGTGGGAAGTGAGACCCTGAGTGAGAAAAAAAATGAGAGATTCCCACCCTGATTGGCTCTTGGGTACCTTCTCCATGTTCCCTCACAATCCCCAGGCCAAAGGTGAGGCCATGAAGGCAGTGCTGATCCCAATTCGAGAGACTCTGACCCCAGAATCGGATGTCTCCATTGCACACATCCTGGCTGCCCGAGCTGATCTGTCTCGTCTTGTCCCAGCCACGAGCAAGGCTGCCCGCCGAGGGACCAGCTGTGCCATCAACAAGGTGGGCATCTGGGGTTGGGGAAGGGCCCCAGCATCTTTGGCCTTCAAACTGGCCTTTCAACCTCGACCTCTGCTTGGCTTTGTCCTCTCCTCTGCCTGGTTTCCTATCTTCCGGATTCACCTATAATCCACTCTCTCCACATAGCAGTTGGAAGGATATTTCTAACTCATGTCCCCACCTCGCTAAAAACCCTCCTGTGGCCCCCAGTGCCTTTCAAACAGCCCAGCTGAGCCCCTGGCCCACCTCTCCAGCTTTGGCTTAGACTCCTTCCCCAACACCTCACTCTGTTATATTCGTTTTCAGCCATTTTTAAAAAATATTTTATTGATTTTTTACAGAGAAAGGGAGAGGGATAGAGAGCTAGAAACATCGATGAGAGAGAGACATTGATCAGCTGCCTCCTGCACACCCCCTACTGGGGATGTGCCCACAACCCAGGTAACATGCCCTTGACTGGAATCGAATCCGGGACCTTTCAGTCTTCAGGCCGACGCTCAATCCACTGAGCCAAACCCGTTTTGGCAAGTTTTCAGCCATTTTAAAAGCAGAGATACCCTCTGTTTAAATGATTGTTATTTGGCCTCATACCTCTGTCTAAATAGTCTTATACTTATGTGAATACTAGGAAATAAAGTCTAGCACAGCAAAGAGAAGTAAAATTTACGAAAGTTGTTTGCTTTAAGGAAATATAGTAAGTAAATAATATAGGTAATGCACAAGTGATGGATATTTAGAAAAAAAAATACACTGCTTTACTGGAAATGTTATACAAAGGCCAAACATAAAATAAACATAAATTGAGGTGTCCTTATTACTATTGGTAGAGACTTGGACCTCTGCCATCACTCTCAATTTTATTTCCTTCTTCCTGAGGCTCCTGGAACCCAGTTTGAAACCTCCAGCCTGTATCTTCTACCAATCCAGCACCCCAGACCAGTGATCGGCAAACTGCGGCTCGAGAGCCACATGCGGCTCTTTGGCCCCTTGAGTTTTTAGCAAAGGCCAGCTTAGGAGTACCCTAATTACATTAATAACAATGTACCTACCTATATAGTTTAAGTTTTAGAACTTTGGCTCTCAAAAGAAATTTCAATCATTGTACTGTTGATATTTGGCCCTGTTGACTAATGAGTTTGCTGACCACTGCCCCAGACCATCCCACCCATGGTACCCAAATGGTCAACATCTGCCCTTTTTTAAACTCATGCTGCTTCCTTGGTTCTCTGGCCTTCTTGTTCAAGATACTTTTATTTTCTGAAACTAAAGTCTAATCAACTCTCAGGTGCTTATGGGCAATGTGCCAGACCGAGGGGGACGTCCAGATGAGTTGGAGGCTCCTATGCCCAGTTGGCAGAGCAGAAGAGATAATGGAGGCGGGAGGAAGGCAGGCCGCCACAGCTGGGGCGGTAAGAAGAAAAAGAAATAAAGGGGGACTGGGTCCTCTATGGGATGCTGATGCCATTGATAATCTCTGGGGAATCAATTTGAGATTGTTTCTTGGCACCTGGCACCCAGGCTTCACATCTATTCCTGAGGCCCTAATTCCTCCCCCTCTTCCCCCATCCACCATTTAACATCAAGGACCATGTTCTCTGAAAAATAAATTTAATTTATGACAGTTGTGGATCTATCTCTGGGGGGCTGTGAGGGAGGGGCAGGTCAGGACACACAGGTTTGAGGAGGAGGGAGGGGGTCTCAGTCCCTTGGATCTAAACAGGCTCCTGGTGCTCTGACCCTCAAAGTCCTTTGTTCTTCAGCGACACACTTTCCCTTCCTGTGGGCATGGGGAAAGACATGCAAGCACTGGACAAACATCAGGCAGCCACCATGTGGCAGCTCTGTTCTAGGCTCTTGGGATAAAGCAGTGAAAAGTGCAGCTCCTGCCTTACCAGAGCTCACATTTCTGGTAAGGATGGGCAGATATTCAACAAGAGAAAAAGGTAAAATGTATAGTTGCCAGATGAGGAAAGGACTTTGGAGGAAAATAAAGCCGAAGGTGGGATCCGGGACCATGGGGAGATTGAAACTTTGAGTATGGTGAGGGGTGGCCTCACTGAGGTGACACTTGAGCTAAGTCCCAAAGAGGGAGTCATGTGGGCCTCTGGGAAAGTGTCCAGGCAGAGGGAACAGCCAGTGCAAAGGCCCTGAGGTAGGAGTATTTTTGGCATGCTCAGGGACCACTGAGGCCAGTGCAGCTGAAGCAGGATGGGAGGGGGTAAGTGGTATGAAGTAACAGCGGCAGACTGTGGAGTGGGCTGCAGGGAGAACTGTGGCTTTTAACCTGAGTGAAATGGAGCCACATGATCAGACTCAAGCGTTCACTAGCTCCCCTTTCGACCCCTTCTCTACTGTCTCTAGAACCCCGACCCTGCTCCTATCCCCCTCCTGACCCCCTCTCCCATCCCCCACCTGACCCACCCTGACTGTCAGTGTAGCACATTGATCAGAAGCTTCTGTTTTAGAGGCAGACAGAAGACTTGGGTTTGAATCCTGCCTTCAACAACTTAGGAACTCTGCCACCTTGGGTGAGCAGCTTGACCTCACTGAGCCTCAATTTCTTCATCTGTAAAATGAAGATTTAAGGAGTTGGTAAAATAATGGTAAAGATTAAATGTATCCAACATGGAGCTGCAGTTGCCTAAGTGCAGGAAAGGGGAGTACAATTAATAGCTACTCTGATGCAAAAGAAGAAAATAACTTCCCGGTGTCTAGGAATTGGGCTTGGAGGACTGGATGGGTGGCGGGGCCACCGCTGGGAGGGGAACCTGGAAGGAAGAAGATATCGGGTGATGTGGGGGGTGCGATGTCAGGAGATGTTTCCCGCCATCGATACCTCACCAGACTTCTCTGTCTCTAAAATATGGAACCCTTCATCAATTTGCATGTCATCCTCATGCAGGCCCCTGCTAATCTTCTCTGTATCGTTCCAGTTTTAGTGAATGTGCTGCCGAAGCGAGCACCTCACCAGACTTCTGTTAAGTGGATGAATGAATGTCCCCTGTGGACATTTTTAAATCCAGCCTCAGAGTCTCTGCCTTGGAATAGTGTAATTTATTCCATGACATTTATTGTAGCTCCTGACACATTTGGCCTTACCATTGCCATCTCATTATTTTCTTTATTTTTTCTCCCTAAAATCCTTTTTTGCTGTTCTACTAGTGGCTACCCCTTCTTCCTATCAACATACTGAAATTTCTGTTTTTCTAATAACGTTAAAAATTTACCAGAATCTCCTACCCAAGTAATTGAAGATTTTTGCACATTTTTACTTTCCCTTGCTTCCCCAATCTGTTTGGGTTCCCCAGGCAAGTGAGTTGGTCTCCCCTGTATCCTCACCGTGTCTGGTTCCCAGGAAGGTTGTGGGGACTCTGTCTGGGTCCAAGCATGGTGAAGGTGGCACTCCGTCTCAGGTTCCAGGGCGTATGTGTAGGAAAGACTGTCCTCAGAGCCTGTTTCGGGGGTACGGGTGGGAGGAATGAGAGTATGTTGGGAAGAGCTTCATGACCTTGGGATTAATCCCTATGTACCAAGCCCCCTTTCCAGAGCTGTACACCCTGGTCTTACCACAGCTGGCCCGGGGCGTTGGTGTGGGTGGGACAGGGGCTCCTGAGGGGCTCCTCTCGCTCTTGGCCCCTGGCCTCCTGCACTCCTCCTTTACTCGGTCTCTGCAGTGTTTGTGGCAGCACAGCCCACAGTCTGGGGGAAGGCAGCAGTTAGTGGCCAAAGACCCAGCCCATGCCCCCATTCTTCTGGGCTGCAAGATCTGAACTCCCTCCCCCCTCACTGATGTCCATCCTACTTACCCCGACAGCGGTAGCCTTGCTTGGTGACACCCCAGAGCTGGGAAGAGAAAGCAGAATAGGTTGCCAAGGCTAGGAGAGGTAGGGCTGTGGATGGGCAGGGCTCTTTGGAAGTGTGGAAACCATCTAGGTTTTGGAAATTCTCAAGGCTAGATAGAGGTTTATGTGGGATGAGGATTAAAGGAATTTGGAGGTTTATTCAAGTTTGAGGAATCATCTAGGCCAGTGGTTCTCAACCTTTTAATGCCGAGACCCTTTAATACAGTTCCTCATTTTGCTACTGTTATGAATCATAATGTAAAGGTCTATGTTTTCCGATGGCTTTACAGCAGCGGTTCTCAACCTTTGGGTCGCTAGCAGGGTCACCTAAGATTATAGGAAAACACAGATCTTTACGATTCATAACAGTAGCAAAATTACAGTTATGAAATAGCAATGAAAATAACTTTATGGTTGGGGTCACCACATGAGGAACTGTATTAAAGGGTCTCGGCATTAAAAAAGGTTGAGAACCACTGATCTAGGCTATTAGAACTGGGTCAAATTTGGAATTCTGTGGGCAGGGATTGTGTCTATTGTGTTTTCTGCTTGCCCTCCCCACTCCCTCCACTTACACACCCTGAGCCTAGAACTGTACTGGCACACAGGAGGTACTTAATAAATATTTAGTGAATGGAAAACAAATTTTGGAAGGCCAAGGGTTGTAAATTAGCTTGGGAGATTGAGAGATTTGTCCATTATCCAGAACTTGAGTGTAATTTTGAAAATTACCCAGGGTTTGAATTATCTAGAGTCTAGAAACTTGGAGATTGAATGTTTAGGAATAATCTATCCAGGCATGTAAGTTAAATAGGATTTTAGGTGTTATCCATGCGTTGGCAGTTATCCAAGATAGAGGTCAGCTGGGATTTGGGCGTTAGCTAGACTTTGGAAACATTGGGATATAGAGAAGATCCAATGTTTAGGGTGTCTATGAAATGTGGGGATTATTTGAGGTTGAACAATTTTCTGGAATTCGCAGATTGTTCAGGGCTTGAGTACTCCAAGGAAGGTCTGGCTTCTGAGCCCAGACTGTGAGGAGCTAGGACACTCAGAAGATGGGCCCCAAGGATGATAGTGGGCCGAATGCTCACGAAACCACTGCAGCTGTCACAGAAGGTGGGCTTGCGGAAGGTGACCTCATGGAAGGTGTGCAAGAAGGCCAGGCCTAGCTTGGAGCAGATGGCGCTGGCCCGGAGAAGGTATTCCGTCAGCTCCTCTCGGCTGAAGGAGCCACTCCTGGGGGCAGAGACCTCACTTCAGCATGACTGGCCCGTTTCTCCCAGACCCCAGGATCCTGGAAACCCCCGTATCCTCATCTGTGGGGGCCTTAGAAATTAGAGCACTTACTCTTGGCAGGGGGACGGGTGAAGCCCATGGCAGGCAAAGGGGAAGTTGCCTGAGAGTCGCTCAAAGTCCTCAAGAGAGATGGTTCCTCGGCCTTCAGGGTCATAATTCTTGAACACGGACTTCAGAGGAACATGGGAAGGGGAGAGTAAGGCCTTGTCATGATCCCTTCGGTCTTAGGGTCAGGGCTATACAGGTAGCTTCCTTCTTGGCCCCCAGTAGCCAGGCCATAGTCCCTCCTTACCTCTACCAGCTGCTCCACATGTAGACCCAGGGTGGCCCTGTCGGGCTTGGGCATCACACCAGGGGCCCACTCCACCACCAGGGGTGCTTTGAAGGGGGAGGGTGGCTGGAGCAGGGACAGAGGGGCATAGTTAGTCAGTGGATAGGCTTGGGCTAGAGGTCAGAGATCAGGGTTTGGGTCTCACCAGACTCTTAGGACAGCGAGGCTCCCGGGTGTAAGAAAGCTCATAGATCTCGTCCTCCGTGTAGAAAAGATCCAGGGAAAGCTGGGGGTGGGCAGGGATTATAGACTCTGTCTCCATCCTCCTACCTACAGCTATTGCCCTGCCTGGGCCTCCATTCTCCTCCTCTTCCCAAAAGCCCCCTCTTCTCTGGGGACCTGGAAGGTCTCTCCCACTGAGATCTATTCATTCTTCACGCACCTAGTACAGGTATGCTATTTTCTCACTGGGGCTCTTTTGGATCCTATTTAAAAGTTCAAACCCTGCTCCTTTCCATGCGTTTTCTGCCTTAATTTACTCTCATACTTATCTAAAAGACCATGTGATTGACTTAATGGCTTTGTTTTATGTGCTGTCTCCCCCACTAGGATGTCAGCCTCACAAGAACAGTCTCTCCACCCCCCACCCCCCCTTTCTGACTTGCTCACTGCTGTGAAACCTAAGTGCCTGAAGTAGTAGTGCCTGGCTCACAGTGGGTGTTCAATAAATATTTGGGATGATGGCCTCATAATAGGGCGGGCCTCATATTAGGGCGGGCTTCATGGGCAAGCCCCACACTTAAAAGGGCCCCACTTTGTTTAATGCCCTGTCACCACAGTCTTGAAAGTCTGAAGAACTTGGAACAAGGAGCTCCATATTATTTGTATTGCAACTGTAAACCTACTTTTGCCTACCCCTGTATATATGTGTCTCCGGAATCCCACACTTCCAACCTTAGGACATAGTGTAGTAGTTTACATGTTACACACGTGGGTTCAGATCCAGGTTTTACTGCTATGGGAGAGTGGGCAAGTGACCTCACCTCTGTGGCCCTGTTTCCTAACCTGTAGGAAGCATGATAAGGGTCCCCACCTTGGAGTTGTACAGAAGGGATGAAGTATTCTGTAAAGTGTTTTACAGCCGAAACCGGTTTGGCTCAGTGGATAGAGCGTCGACCTGCGGACTGAAAGGTCCCAGGTTCAATTCCGGTCAAGGGCACGTACCTTGGTTGCGGGCACATCCCCAGGAAGGGGTGTGTAAGAGGCAGCTGATTGATGATTCTCTCTCATTGATGTTTCTAACTCTCTATCCCTCTCTCTTCCTCTCTGTAAAAAAATCAATAAAATATATATTAAAAAAAAAAAAAGAGAGAGTGTTTTACATGTTGTCTGGCCCAGAGTAAGTGATCAATAATTATTACTAGCTTTTTGCTTAGATTCGTAGTATGTTAAAGCTTGGAATTTTGGACAAGTGACATGAGAAGCTCAGAACCTTGGAGTTCAGAAGTGTGAAAGCCCAACGTAATTCTGGAGCTTAGATCAATGGATACTTGAATTTCTGGGGGAATGGGAGGAAAAGGCATAACATATGTGGAGCTCTCTGTGTTCCAGGTACTAATTTAAGCACTTTATGTGAATTATATTACTGATTGGTTCTTCTCAACTACTCTCTGAAGTAGGTCCTATTATTCCTATTTTGCAGATAAGGAAACTGAAGCCAAGGGGCTAAGTGACTTGCCCAAGGCCACACAGCTGGGGGGGGGGGGGGGCGGGTACCTAGAAGCTCTGGTTTCAGTATATGTGCTGCCAAAGCCCAAACATCTCAATGCTGTTCTCTCCTGGCACACAGCCCTTCACCCACCCAGGACCCCAGGCTCAGCCTCCAGGAGCCCAGCTGGGGCTGGGCAGCTCACCGTAAGCAGATGCAGCAGGTCCTCATTGGCACTGCAGGGGGGGTGCTGCTTCTGAAGGGCTGCCAGTTCCTGCAGCCGTAGGTAGAGGCTGTTGAGCTTGGGAAGGTGCAGGCGGCCATCAGGTAACCTGTCGGGCTGTGCCTCATGCAGGGACACCAGGTCCTTGAGGTGCACACCCAGCACAGGCAGCCGGAAGCCTGTACAGCCAGCCCAGGTGCGGCGATAACAGGCATAGTTGTTGTGGGCAGCAAGCAGCTCAGTCAGCTCCAGCAGGGTCTGTGTGGGAGGCCACATTGGGGAGAGGGCAGCATGTTATCGGGGAAAACTAGGTTCCGCTCTCTTAGCCCCATGGAGGAGGGTATCTTAGCAGTCCCCTGTGTGGGCTTCTAACCCCCAGGGGCCCAATGCCGTTTTTGGACACTTTCCCAAACCCTATCCATGTCCCACATTGGCCTCAATATCTTCTCAAACTGCTCTTCCTTGGGTCCCCAGGCTAGAGTGATTCTTCCAAAACCTAAGTCTGATCATGGATGTTGCGTCATTCTGAAATGTTCCCTAACTCCCCAGTGTCCTCCGGATAAAGCCCAGATACCTTAATGAGCTTGCAAGGCTCCCCTAGATCTTCCTCTGAATATCAT